GGGGTGAAGGGCGCACAGGTAATGGGGAAAAAATAAGAACCAAGATACATCATGTTCAGGTACAAACACCCAATGATAAATGTAAACGAATTGTATACATAAAATGTACCAATAAAAGAACTTAAAAAAATAAAAATAAAAAAGATGCTACAATTGATCACATACCAAATGATCTAGCAGATCTAGCCCTCTGTGTATGTGTATCTATACCCATAAGGAATATGTTTATCTAGTCACCAAAAACACGTACAACAATGTTCATAGCAGCTTAGTCATAGTAGTTCCTAACTGGAAATGATGCACACATGCCCACCAATAGTAGACTAGATAGAATATAGTTAGAAGTCACAGAATAGAATGCCACATAGCCATCAAGGTGGATAAGCAATATATCTAACAGTGTGCATGACTCAACTTCCATAAGCAGAATGTTGGGAGAAGGAAAGAGCAAGAAAGTATATTCTCTATGATTCTATTTATATAAAATTCAAAAGCAGACACAGCTAATTCCAGGCTGGTGGAATTCAAGAGTGTTTTTTTGGAAAGGGATGGGGGCTGGGAGGAGGCAAGAAAAGCTTCCTGGGTGTCAGAAAGGTGCTTGCTACAGGTCACCTGGTCGTTTTCACTTTATAAAAATTCACTGTGCTGCACACATACAACTTGTGCACTTTTCTGGGTGTTTCACATCCAAAAGAATAAAAGGAGGAGGCAGAGGAGGAAGAAGAGGAAGAGAAGGGATGATGCAGCTCCATGTGTACTGACATGGAAGAGGAAAGCTCATTGATGTTAACTATATTCCATTTCTGTTGAGCTGCAGACCTCCAACTATAAGTGCCTATGTGTATAGAAAGTGATCCCAGAAAGATCTCTCTGAAGAACTGTAACACACCTTTATTAAAAGCTTACTATTGTTCCTTGGAAGACACAAGGTCACTGTCACTCCAAAGTTAATAAAACAGCAGATTATTCTTAAAAAAAAAAGAAAGTGATCCCAGGACAACAGTTCTCATGGATGTTAGCAACATTTACCCCTGAGTAAGATTTGAAGTTTGTTTTCTTTGTATCTGTTTATATTTGTATACAACATATATATAATTTCATATTCAAAAAATGGTTATGTTTTAAAATTCCTCCTTTATTAAAAAGAAATAACATCCACCTTATCCAGACACAGGAGCATGTGCCTCTATACCAGCTACTTGGGGGGACCTGATGCAGAAGGACCACTTGAATCTAGGAGTTGGAGACCAGCATGGGCCAAAGACTTTCCCTAGAAACAAATCAGTAGGTACCACAAATCTATCAACAAGGGACATAACGTGCATTGTGTGCACTGAACACACTTTGCAATTGCCCGGGTTCCTAAATCTTCCCAAGCCAGCACCCTTCACATCCACAGAAGCCATACACCTGAGGTAGAATCTTCGGGCAGATGAAGGGGAGAGGCCTTTGTCTCCGAGAACTAAAGGTACTGCCACAACATTTTAGGCTATCTGTACTTCCTTCCTTGGAATCAGGAAGCAGATGGGTCCTTTTATGAAACAAAAGTACTCTCCCTATTGTTTCTCTTTCTTCCTCCTCTACTCCAAATTCCCCCTACATGCTACCTCTCAGGCTCAGGTGGAGAGAATTCCACCTGATTATCCCCAGCCCTGCATTCTGGCTTAGCAGAGAATTTCCCATTTCTCCCTCATCATCCTTTCCCACCAAGAGCCTCTTCCATGGGTCCACATACTCGAAATTCTTTTAATGGGTGATTCTAAATCAAAGCCCAAGCTTAAAATGTAAATAACCCTGGGTGACTCGACACATGGCCTTAATATTCACATTAAGGTGTAAATGTCTAATGTGATTTCTGAGGAGGTGGACATGGATGGAGAAAGAGAGGCGGAAATCTGGGCAGCTTGCTGAGGTACCTTTGTTCCCACCCTCAATCCCATCAGACCTGTTTAGGAGATCCCAAGCTACCCAGAAGCAGAAGGTAGTCATGCCATTCAGGCCAGTTCTATATCCATTCCAGACTCAGGATTACAATAATTTGGGAGGGGTCAACCAAGTCAGAGCCCCAGATGGCAGAGGAGCTGCTTTAGCTTAAGACTCTTAACTCTTTCCTCAGGGCAGGAAAGGTTGGAGACAAAGAAGGATGAGGCATTCCAGGCCCAGTACATAACCTTGATCCAAAGTCTACTTGTGGCTTGAATTTTTTTGTAAATCAAAGCCTCCAGTTTTTCTTCACTTTCTTAGCTAAGGACATGTTTCCTAAGATGCATGGAAAAATAAATAAATAAAAGACACCGAATCGGGGATTGTGTGACAGCGTGTGTCACTTAAACCCGCTGGAGGCAGGCAGGATCGCTGCTTTACTAACCTCACTTTCCTGCACCTCTCCCCTGGAATACTGTCTTTCCAAGATCATCTCATACTTGGAAAACTTTGTCTAATTATCATCATACATGATGGGCCTATTGCCAGCTGCTTCTTATTTTTACTTTAGATTCTTTCCAGGGTGTTTTTTTTCCCTTGGGGGCGGGCATTGGGAGAGAGGAGTGCCTGTTTTTGCTATTACACAGAACTGATTGGATTTCCTTTTATAATCACAATTAAACTTCCAGACCTGATCATATGAATATTTCACATTTAGATTATCTGAATGCGCACTGGATTGGTGGATCTCATAAAACCTCCCAAGTTTGAAAGCCAGGAGCTGACCCATGAGGTTTGAGCAAGTCATTCTAAGGGACATAAGGAGCACAGAGGGACTCGGAAAGCCCAAGGCACAGTCTTCTCTCCATCAGCAGAGTGCCAACTGTAGTTAGCGCCAAGAGCATGTACTGCAGTCCCAGGAACAGGACTGGAAGTTCCATGAGAACAGGGCCTTTGTCTATCCTGTCCCCCGCTGTTGCCCCAGCACCTGCTCCATGTCTGGCATTGCAGTTGATGAGTAGCAAATCCTTGTCGAATGATGGATCAGCCTTTGCCACCCACTCCCTACAGTGGTGGGGTTGGAAGAAAGGACAGGCATATTTCATAGAATCTATATGTGAAGCAGGGTTGTCAAGTGTTCAAACTAGTCAGACTAGCAGCTGTTCTAAAAGGACTACATACAGCACTCTGGCTGGAGGGAATTGTGTTAGGAGCAGAGTGTAAAGGGGGAGGTCTATGAAGTTAAATCTGGTTGTCACCTTGACCTGCAACTTCAGTGATGATATGTATATGTCCCAAAGTGGGAGCATCTTCTTCAAGCATCTGAAACCCATTGCAAGTGGAGCCCTAAATTAACATTCACTGCTCTGCCACTGTGAGCAACAGTCAAGGTGGCTCACTCCTCCTCCCTGACGGATGTCGAGGTTCCATGGACTACCAGCTCTCTCTCATAAAATGTGTTGGGGTGCTGAAGGGGTTAATCTGTGCACTAATCAGACCTCAGGGAGACTCAGTAAGAATCTAACAGCTAATACCAATGCGCATTTAAGAAAGAAAAATGTACTTTTATGTTTATTATTCTTTTCTCTTTTGGGGGGAGGGTGAGAAAAGAAGACAGTAAGGGGGATATTAACTCAAAAATCACTGCTTGCTTTCTATGTGCTAGAAATTAAGTTTACAACCCAGAAGAGGAAATAGGACAAATGCCAAAGGACTCTTGAGCACATCTACCAAAGTGGTAGGTGCGGGAGACAGGGCACTGAGTAGGTGTAGACAAGATCGTGGAGGCTGACCAGGGAGATGGGAAAAGGGTATGCCAGGCATTGAAAGATTTGAGAAAGTTCTGGGGGCATGAGAGCCAGAGGGGTAATGATCATGAGACAGAGGACCATGGGGAAGGGGGTGGGGTGGGGGTTGAGGTCATCTCAAGGAGAGGTGAGTCAGACAGGCAGAGGGCCACAGCCAAGCCACCAACCCACTAACCAGTCAGCCCACCAGCATCCACGGTGGCTCTGGAGGGTCCTTGATCCATCAGCAGTCTGCAGCCTGGTGACTCAGCGGCAGAGGAAAGCTGGGAGCGGGGCATACTCAAGCAATGATGTGAGTTGGGTGGTCCTCTTGGAGTCAAGAGGAGTCAACAGGCAAACAGAGAGGGGGTGGGGGCAGAAGTGAGCAGGCTTTTCACAAAAGCTCATTTTCTCCAGAACAACTAAAACAAAACACCTACTAGCAGCTATTGCCAGTAGGGAGGGGAGTGAGACAGATTTTTCCAGTTCTACCATTTTGGATATTTTGAGTTTTGACCTTCTTGCATATATTGCCTATTATAACAAAAATCTGCAATGTTGGGACCCAGGGTCAACTTTGTTTTTGCTAGTGTGAAAGTCCAGCCTGGGAGAGGTGTTGAGGATGCTCAATGTTTCACTCCCTCCCACCCGCTATCCCCGAGCCCAGCAAACTGAAGGTTTTCTTCCTATGTTAGGGCTTCTATTTCATTTCCGCCAAGTTCTCAGTTTCCTTTGAGATGCCTAGGGATCGTGGACATATTAGCTAGGTCAACTCTTAGCTGGGCATCAGCGTCAGAATCTGGTGAGAGGAGAGCATGCCTGAGAAAGGAAGGGAAAGGCTTGTTAGGAGCAGCAGCGGTGGAGAAAGGTTCCTGTCACTCCCCAGAGCCAGTACTGATTGTTGTCAACGTTCCTGCTACTTAGAAAAAGCCTAAGAGGTGGCCTGGTTCTGGCAGGCCACAGTCCCCAGTTGAGGCCAACACCACGGCTCCCGGGGCTCTTCCTTGAGCTTGAAGGATGGTCCCACTGCCTCAAGGTGGGTCAGCCACACATCCTGACCTGGGATGCAGTGGCCAGGCCTGCTCCCCACGCGCCTCAGAAGCTACCCATTCCTCTCCAATCTTTCTGGCATCTCCCATCACAATCCCTTTATCCTGTACCGTCCAGCCCGGTAGACCAGGGAGCCCTTCTGCCGCTGGGGGAAGAGAGCCGGAGTGGGCTGGCAGGGTCGTGCAGCCGAGCCTCCCAGCCGCTTCCTGTCTGGCTCGCCTGGGTCCCTCGTGGGCTGGCAGTTCCAGTGGGGCGGGGACCGGTAGGGCGCGCGCTCCGCAGGGTTCGAGCGCTGCTTCCGCCCAGTGGGTACAAATCCGAACTGTCCTAAACGCATCTTTCCCTCCTTATAGTCTGTTAAATTGACTAATAAACTCAACACAGCGTTCTCTGTGCGGCTTCAAAAAACTCGATAATTTCGTTAGAAAACGTTGAAATCCAACCCCAAAGTATTCAGCCCAAATGTTTGGTTAAAGTAACCCGGTGGGTTAATAAACTAAACAAAGGCAACCCATGCAAAACTGGAGCAATGAAAACCAGGCTAAATAAACGAAGGGAAGTTTATAAGAACCCTTTCGGAGAGAGAGAAAAAAAAAGAGTAAGAGAGAGAGAGAAAGGCACCGGGCAGGGAGGTTTAATGTGAAGCATGTGAGCGGGGCTCAGTTTACAGGTACGAGGGCCGGCGGCGAAGAGCGCAGTCGGGCGACCTCGCCGATGCGGGTGGGTCTGCGCGGCCCGCCCGGGAAACCCTACCCGGAGCTGAGAGCGGCCTGGCGGCGCTTTCCAAAGTGGGAGCCCCCAGCGCTCCGCGTGCCCCCGGGCCCCGCAGCCCTGCACCCCGCGCAGTGCAGCCCTGCGCCCGGCAGCTGCAGCCCTGTGCCCGGGGGCCTGTAGCGTGCGCCGAGGGACGGGCGCGACCCGCCATCCTGCGGCGGAGTCTTCCCCACCGGGAAGGCAGCCCTCTCTCCCTCACCGAGAGCCCCGACTTGGGGACATTGTGCTCTGGAAAGGCAGAAATAGGGGGGTCCTGGTTCCCGCAGCTCTTGCCCCTCCCTCCCTTCGCGCCCATGGGCTCTGGCTGTGGAGTAACAAAGCCAATTGACTCCCCAAGCAGCTCTGATGAAGTGGAAGGCAGGTGGGTGGACAGAGGTTTCTACAACTGGCTTCCTTTTGCCTATACAGTCCTAGGAGGTAGAAAGGAGAGAGAAGTGGAAAGGCTAGGTCCAGAAATTAGGAGCCATTGTTTTTCCCGTTTCAGATTCAAGCGGTGAGAACAGCCTCCCTCTCTGCCCTGCCCAGGTCCAGCCATGAAAAGAAAAAAGGGGGCCAAAGAGTGGGTTGATTTTCCAGACCACTCTAACTTCCTTCTCCCGGGGCTCCTCGCCCCCTGTCCCCTAGGATTTCTAGGAGGGGCGGCCCCGGCCGTCGGAGCCGATTCTGGGCGATCCACTAGGAGATCAGAGGCAACACAGGTTCGGTGTTAAATGAACCTTCAGGCCTCGGGACAATGGCGCGGACCTCACACGGGGGCACCGCGCCTTCCCTAGACGCGCTCGGCCCCAGCCGATCCTTTATTGCACGTGGTGAATCCCCCGCTCCTAAGGCAGCCCAACCAATGGGCCGACGGGGGACAGTGGGGCTCGGGAGATGCTTTGAAAGGAGGTGTGGGTTTTAATTTTTAAAGAGCATAATTGGAGAAGGGTTATTTTTTCCCTTGGTCGAAGGGGTGGGGAGAGAAGAAAAAAATCAGGCGAAACACAACACATTTATCTATCAACCGCTAGACAAGACAAAGAGGTTTTAACAACAGTTTGAAAAGAGCGGCCTGTGAATGGTTACTATTCAATTTGTATTTTATTCCCCGCTGGTCATGGAATTGAGATCAGAAGAAAAAGTGAAAACACATGGCCGAGGTCAGGGGATCAGAGAACCACCACACACAGCAAAGGGAAGGGAATGCAATGGGAACTCGTGTGAAGAAATGGATTATATAAACAGAGCTTACGATCGCCTGCGCCCCATTATCCTATAATTTACCCCGCATGGGAGCATAGAAATATATTAAACTAGTGATAGGTTTTACCATTTCTTTACAACCCAGACTCGTGCCAATCAAGCCTACTATATACTTTGAGACATGTTTAGAATTCTTGAACTAATGTGTTTATTTTAAATATCACAGGGAAATTATTACATCACCAGAAAATAATGCCAGAGCGGGGGTCTGCAGCCCTTTTGAAGTCCTGCTGCAAAGAAACATGATTTTAATTACATAATCACTTTGAAACTATAATTATACAATAAACGATGAGGATTAAGTGGGAAGTATAGAGTACATTAAAAATTGCTTAGGTCTTGAGAAAACAAACTGAACATGCAGGGGAAAAGAAAAAGATGAAATTCGAGGTCCTGGGGAGGATAAATCCTACCGTGGCCTTCTGACTGGTGGGGATGGGAGCCTGGGGCTCTCTGCCTGGGCTAAGGGCCAGGGCGAGAGGTGGCCTGAGTTGAGTAGCTGAGCTAAAAACCAGTAAATCTGAGACAGAATCAAAGGATTCTGTGAAAAAAGATGACTCCGCGTGCGTCTGCTAACCTTTCTACACAAAAATAAAGTTGCTTTGGCCTTTATGAAATGCATTTATATCAAAAACTGTCATTCATCAGGAGTGCCACAGGGAGGCTGAGAGTTGCCAAAGACTGTTTCTTTTTTTTCTTTTTCTTTTGCCCTTCTCTTCCAGGAACAAAGGCATCCAACAGGAAATCTTAGCGGGTGCCCAGCTGCCCACTAGGAGTTTGTAAACAACCTCTCAGCACAACTTTCCATAATCCAAGGTGCATGCACACTCTCCGCCTGGCTCCAGCTTTCTGGCCTCAGGCCCCTTTCCCGAAAGCTGCCTGCCTCACCTCTTAAATTTGCTTCTGTGTTTGCATTTCCGGTGAGGCCAAGGGCAGGCACAGCCTTTTTCCCTAAAATATAGAAACTTGGCTCTGGCCAGGTGGTATCAACATGTGTCTCTCTTCCTTCAGCTTCCAAGAGCACCTAGAACTTCTGCAGAGCCAGGCACAGAAACTGGGCATGGTGCTGTCCCTGCTCATCTTCAGATCCTGCTTTCAGGCGATACACTAGAGGCCCTGGGATGAAGGTTCTAGGTTCTGATATAGAATCCAGACCGCATGTGTTTAGGAAACTGCCATCACCAGCATTTGATAACCTCAGATCGCCTTTAATATCTCATAGCAAGCACCTTGGGTGCCTGTGGTTTGGAATGTGGGCGCCTGGCCCAGCCACATTTTACACATATAGTGTTCACTGCCACCTTGCCAGCCACAGGGGAGAGGGCACTTCAGTGAAGTGGCCACTCCAGCTTTTTGCTCAAGCAGAAAATTATAATTGAAGAAACAACGACCTTCAAATTCATGCTCAAATGAAAAGATGTTTCTCCAGGAGCTTAGACTAGAGATGCTGGGAGAGAGTTGGGCACCATGGTCGCTCCTAACTTTGCCCAGTCCCCTGCAGCGTTAAGCCAAAGACCTTCTTCAGCTCTGAACCCTTAATGTTAAGACATATCAGCACCGCATTCGTCTGCAGCAGACCATCAAAGACCAAGAAAAAATACAAGAGAAATAAAACAGTTCATCCAAAGAGTCCTACTGTGAGCATGTTTATATTTTGCTTTTCTAAGCCTAGGATATAATTTATTCACTGCTCTTTGAAAACAAAAGTCCTGCCCTCACCTGGCAATGTTGACAGGCTGCTTTCAAAACCGCTGAGGAAATCACAACTGAGGGCCTGAAGTGCAACATGCAAATATGGTTCTTTCCTGGGATAAGAGTAAAAGGGCCAAGATTTAGAAAACAGATAGGAGGGGAAATCAGACTCGTCAGGAGTCACAATAATACTAAAAAGTATTACTTACCATCTTTCACAATACAATTTACCTACAGTACCTTATTTGGTGCTACAGCAATGTAGCAGGTACTTTATGAATAATATCAAGTACTTACACAGTGTTTATTACATACTCTAGCACTGTGGTGTTTTGCATTCATTTCTTCCTCATAACAACCTCATGTAGGTAAGAGAATTCTTTTCCCAGTTTTACAGATGAGCAATTGAGGCACAGGGAGACGATAACTTAGTGTGCCCCAGATCACCTGACCATAAATGACAAGATGGGTCAGAATCTACACTTTGAGATCTTGGCCAGGACACAATACCCTCCAAAGAAATGCAGACTGGGAGAATTTGGGGCTTACAGGAAGTTCCCGTGACCCGCCAGGATCGGATTCCAAGTCATAGTGAGTAGGGGCTGTGGAGCATGGCCGAGGTCCACAGAGCCACCCGAAATGCACTGAGATCCAGGAGTTGTCCTTGAGGCCAAGAGCAAGGACAGAGCACTGCGCCTAAGTGTCAGGGTCAACGGTGGAAGAGTCCAGAGGGCACTGGGCTGCTTCCTCCACCGCGTACCCCCAGGGTCCTGGGCAGCAGTTGTTTTCGCAGATACATCGGAGGAAACACCAAGGCGGGGCATCTGCCGGACGCCTCCACTTGGCTCTCTGGAGCGCAAGGAGGCGCAGGGGACTGAGGATCGCAGGGCCTGCCAGACTGAGGGGAGAGGCTGAAGAGACTGGTGGGGAGGGGCTCAGCCCGCACTCCTCCTCGCGCCCGACCGCGCTTTGCCCAGAGGGCGTCTATGCTGGCTGCGCGCTCCTCTCCAGGACGCAGCACTTCTGGCTTCTCCGGGAGGCTCTGGAACCCGGCGCCGGGCATGGCCTGGGCGCTTCTCCGCGATGCGTTCAACTCCAATCGGGACCAAGCTGAGGAGGGCTAGGCAGGGGAAAGGTCCCAGGAGTTGGCCCGAGGGAGCAGTTTGGAAGTTGTGGTTGTATACAACTGTCTGACGCCACTAAGCCTTCCTATTAGTTGGAGCCTCCTGCGGGCAGGTCCAGGCTCTTGGAATGAGTGCTTTGTCTCATTTCCTCTTAGTAGCTGGAAAGTGGCAAGGCAGAGGTGACCGTCCTACTTTGAGGAGACATTGTCCAGGTCACATAGCACAGTGCCGGGCATCTCTAGGGGAGTCACAGCACCCCTTTGCTCCCATCTCACAGGAGGAAGGCGTCGAGAGGGTAACCACCCTGGAAGACTTGGCCAGTATCGGCCCAGGTCTCCACTAGAATGCTTGTGCAGCAGTTGCCAGCCAGCAAGGAAAACTTTCGTTTTTCTGCAGACCTCTCAGAGC